TATGGGTTTTCGGGTTAGGATCCTGGCAGCATCCTAATATGTTATACACAGGGCTCGAGGGTTTTGGACAAATATTTCGGACCGTGAGCTATAATTAATATGATCGCTCCCTGGTCTAAAGCAACAAAACCTTAAACCCTCCCCGCATACCGAAAAGCCGAAGCCTTGGACTTCTGGACCCCCAATTGGGGCTTCAGGCTGGGATCGATTTTTTTTTTTGGAAGGGGCTTTAGGGTTTTCCATCTTTGAGGGTGTAGGGTTCCGGGCTTAAGGGTTTCGGGCTTTAGGGTTTTGGCCTTATGTGTTTTCGGGTTAGGATCCTGGGAGCATCCTAATATGTTATACATATCGAGATCCAGGGCTCGAGGGTTTTGGGCAAATATTTCGGACCGTGAGCTATAATTAGTATGATCGCTCCCTGGTCTAAAGCAACAAAACCTTAAACCCTCCCCGCATACTGAAAAGCCGAAGCCTTGGACTTCTGGACCCCCAATTGGGGCTTCAGGCTAGGATCGATTTTTTTTTTGGAAGGGTCTTTAGGGTTTTCCATCTTTGAGGGTGTAGGGTTCCGGGCTTAAGGGTTTCGGGCTTTAGGGTTTGGCCTTATGGGTTTTCGGGTTAGGATCCTTATATATAAGGATCTAGATCCTAATATGTTACATAACCCTGCACCCCCTATAATCAAACCCTAAACCTCTTTAGGGGTCATTGCTGCCGAGGCCAGAGAGAAGGATTGCCCCATCCGCAGGCTGCTGGTCTGCATGGCAGATGCTGCAGTGGCCAGCCGATGTACCTTGGATCTGAGGCTCCAAATTCCACAGTGAAGTCATCGAGAATGTTCAAGGTGCTGAAGGAGATTTGTGATGACAAGGAGCGAGTGAAGGAGCATGACATGGAGGCAGGCACAGTATGCTATGATGGATGCACCCATGCATGTGCATGCGGCATGTAAAAATTCATGCAATGTTGTGGTGCAGGTGCATGTGTCTGGCCGTGTCCGAAGCCAGGGCTCAGCGGAGGCTTTGCAGGAGAATCTGGGCAACTTCGTAGAGGATTTGTCTGCTACCGCCAGCCAGCTGGGAAACGATATGAAGCTGAAAATGCCGAAGAAGAAAAAGGTTCTCTCAGAAGAAGATCTTGTTAACAAACAAGTCGTGGCACTCTTCAAACGGTGCCAACCCTACCGTGCCTATGTTTGCTTTGTATAGCTTATTCCTGCTTTCGCGCTTTCTTAGAGCCTCCAAGGTTGCTTGCAGACGATTCCAAGATTGCAGCCCAGCTGCTGGATCTGCAGAAGGTCGATTATTCCTCTGAGCTCGCCGAGACCTTGCGCAAGCACAAAGTGAATCTCAAGACCATCGTGGCCAATTTCGATGCAACCACCAAAGCTGTTGAGGATGTAGCAAGCAAGAAAAAAGCGATGGAGGATGTGTCGGAAGGCACAAAAGTCATCTATCGAGATGTCAAGGAAGCAGCACGACGCATCAAGGCAGCAGGTCTGAAACCAACGAAGGGTCTGGAATCACAGACAGAGGCGGAAACCCGCACAGGCTGGATCAGAGCTGAGAGGGAGGGAGAGGAGAGAGGGACCCTAAACACTAAACCCTTAACCCAAAGCCCATTAATATATAAGCCTAAAGCCTATATTATATAGATTGCAGTCCCGTCAAACCCTTGCAGAGGCTGATGTGGATCTGGAAATACTCTGGATGGATGGCCGTGCAGGCTGGATCAGAGCTCGGAGGGAGGGAGAAGAGAGAGGGACCCTAAACACAAAACCGTAAACCCAAAGCCCCTAAATAACCCTAAAGCCTAAAGCCTAGATTGCAGTCCCGTCAAACTGATGTAGATCTGGAAATGCCATGGATGGATGGTATGGATGCAGCCGAGCCCAGGAACCCCAATCCTAAATGAGGCTATGTGCAGTCCTGTCAAACCCAGGCTCATGTGGATCTGGAAATGCCCTGGATGGATGGTATACTATGGATGCAGCCGAGCTGAATGTTGTAGAGTTTAGGATGCCCCAGGAACCCCAATCCTGAATGAGGCCATGTGGATTCCGGAGATGAACGATCTGGATCGGCCGGCTTGATCAAGATCTGCTGAAATTCAGATGAAGTGAGCCCAGCTGAATTATTTTCAGTACGTGCGTGGCAGGATGGCACGGCAAGGTGTTAGCTACTAAGCCCTGGTCGTTGTAACCTGCAATTGCCTGTAGAAGCCCGAAGATCCAGCGCAAGGGAACGCCATCTATACCCTAAGAGCCGTCAAAACCCCGGTCAAGTGATCCTGATATTGTAGATCGTTTCACCCGCCTGCCCCTAAACCCTATACAAGCCTTAAGATAATTAATAGCTTAATTTATGTGACTTCTTATAATATATAAGAGGTGCAAGGATCCCTAAAATCGAGTTGACCCCGATACCCCTAAACTAACTTTTCATCTTACACACAAGCCCTATAATGGAACCAACCCCCCGAATGACTTCCCTAAGCACCTGAGCCGATGCCAGTTATAGATGTGTTCGTGTACACCGTGCATCCACTGTACCACGCAACTTTAATTATAGTACGTGTGTGGGACTGGGTGTGTTCCGAAATGTGGAAACCCTGCTAGCTGCTAGCCTGATACCTGCAATGCTCCACTTCAAAGTTTATTCTCGGGGCCTCGGGGCCCGCACAACAGCCCTAAAATAACGGTGATTCCCTGGACATGCCTCGATCCCTCAGCACACCGACGTGGACTGTAGTTTGATCTACAGCTGAAATCCAATAATTAGTTGGATCGACCAAGCCACAGCTGCTGCTGAGCAGCGCTTGCTGGCCCCCGACGACGAAGTGCCTCGGATGGGGGATGGCATCAAAGTATTTCGCGGAGCCACTCGATCGGATGGATTATGCAATGTGTGGGTCGCCGCTTGTGCTGTTGATGTTGCACCACAAAGCTCAAGGAGTGAAGCTCTACGGCATTTACTCGAAAGCTAGCCGCTAGCCTGCTACATAATTAGGCTGGGTACCGAGTCTGGAACCTATAGCGACCCCCATGATGGCTGATCTATAGTTACAAATAGATCTTTAGGCTGGGTATAGTCTGGAACCTAGGCTGGGTACGACTCTGGAACATGTAGTTCGACCCGTATGATAGCTGATCTAGTTACAATTCTTGAGGCTAGGTACCGAGCTCTAGCTCATCTAGATAGCCTGTTCCAGGATGGCACCCGAGTTTTTAAATATAACCTAGTCACCCATAAACTTTGAAGCCTTGGCCGTTATCTCGGAGCGAGCTCCTTGCTAGGCTGTCCTAAATCGTACCGGGTAGTACCAAGCACTAGACCCTGTATACATGTTTTGCAACTTTGATAATTATAATATTGATCCCGCACTCTGTCGTGTGTTTTCAAAGCCTCAAGACAGCCCGAAAATAATCCAAAGCCCGGAACATCGCAGAAACATGTCCAACTGCACCATGGCCATGCAAGCCTGCTGTCCTCAGAAGTGAAGCCGAGCCGGAGGACCAGACATTAGGTTTCAATTTAACTACCATGCTACCTATGTCGATGCTTGCTGTTGCAGGACAATAATCCGATCTATCCTGCACTTCGTGGGGGAGACTATTTCTGGTGCCCCTGCCACTGGAGCTCTGGAGTCTTGGCTGGATTCCTGGTCTGAGGGCCAGGGTCTTGATCCCGAGTTGTTTAAGGAGCATCAGGACAACAGTCCGATCTATCCTGCACTTCCTGGGGGAGACCATTTATTTCTGGTGCCCCTGCCACTGGAGCTCTTGAGTCT